CTACGCAATTACCTACGGCCGGCCGCTACGACCGTACGACGAGACGTCTCCACTAGCGTGTACTCTCACACACACACACACACACACACACACACACACACACGCCTAGCCCAAGTGACTCCTCTGAGCCCTCATTCTGAGCTCACCTCCCCACCATGTGGGTGAATCTAAACTAGATAGAACCCTTTCCCCTGTTCTTGCATACCTCCAAAATACAAACCAAAGCCTTCCACATTATCCCCCTGGAATTGTCTAGATCTCCAAAGCCCTTAAGAATACCCCACAATCCAGACCCCCCACAGTGCACACTGCAGCCCATCACCATCTTCCTCGGGTATCCAGTCCTCCTCTCTCCCACTGTCCCTCAAACACTTTCTGCCTTAGATAAGGACCATGCACACCTACCACCCAGTGACTCACCCTTAATCCTGCTCTCTGGTAGGTATTATAAACAGTCCCCATTTTACGGAGGATGAAACAGTCACCTCGAATCCTGCAGTGAGAGACTGGCACATTCATCCCTCTACTCATCACTCAGCTGCCCTTCCCTGACTACCTTCCATTTCCTTCCAAACTCTCTGCTCCTTTCCTTCCCAACACTAATCCAAATGTGGCCTCACATCTTAAGCATGGTACACGCTGTAGGCTGAGGACTCCCAGGTTCAGATCCTGACTCCACTATTTACCCACAATGTGACCCCTGGCAAGGCATTTATCCTCTCCAGGCCTTTCCCCATTAGCAAAGTGCAGATAAGGGCTCACATACGATTACTGCGGGGATCGAATGAGTTAATACATATAAGATGCTTCAAACAGTGCCTGGCACTCGGTCAGCTGTTACCATCTGTGCAACTAGTCAATGATTAGTTGACAGACCAGAAGCCCATGAAGGCACAACCATTTTGATCATTCTTGTATCTTCCGCACCCTGGGCCTGGCATAGATCAGGGGCTGCTTGTGAATTAATGATGCCAGGAAACAGGGTTCAAAGCTCTGGAGATACAGCCAAGGTTTCCTCTCAGCTCACTCCTTGTCATCTTCCAGGTCTCAGCTCAAATGTCCCCTCCTGCAGGAAGCCCTCCCTGACTTCCAGACTGGTTAAAGGGCTGTCTTGATCATGACAGTGTCCCCAGCATTGCCCAGCACCCAGCCAGCCACAGAGGAGTTAAGGGATAAGAGTCCCAGGCCAAGCTCTGAACTGGCTTGTTTCTCAAAGTGAGGGCTGCAGACCTTCACCATCAATGCGGGAGCTTGATGAAAATGTAGGATGCCAGGCAGGGTGCCAAATCTACAGAAGCATAATCTCTGGGGGATGGGCCCAGGAATCTGCATTTCCTACAAGCTCCCTCAGCACTAACTAGAGCTGAGACCTTCTGCCCTTGGCCACCACAGTCTGCCCAGTTTATGACCCCATCTAGACCCGAACACCCGACCCAACACCCTCCCAACTCAACAACCCTGCCCTGTATCACGGGGAGATTCCCCCACAAGACGTGGTGGTAATGGTGGAACAGTACAAGTAACATCTTTTAAGCACCTACGTGGATTTCTAGGTGCTGAGTTCTATATCCAGTTGGAGCCAACCCTCTAGTGAGGGATGTCTAAGGAGCCGAGTAGATACAACCAAACACTAATATATGTCAGGTAATTGCAAGTGTTATGAAGAAAAATAAAGCCAGGTAGTGAAGAGCCAGAGAGTGACAGGAGCTATTTTAGTTTGAGTGGGCAGCGAGGGCCTGACTGTGGAGTTGACATTTGAAGAGACTCTGAAGGAGATGAGGGAGAAGTCACGGAGGCATCTGGGGGGGACTCAAAGCAGCCAGAAGGGACAGTAAGTACATTCCCCAGGTGGGGATGTATTTGCTTTGTTTGAGGGACAGCAAGGGGGCCAGGCTGTCTGAGAGTGAGCAAATGGGATTGGTGGGAGTTGAGGGCAGGGAGGAGGAGAAGCTGGATCGGGTGGGGTCTTGTAAGCTTGGTGAAGACTTTTACTGCATGAAGTGGGAGCCATGGGAGGGTTTGAACAAGGGAGCAACATGATCTGACTTTTCTATTAACTTGACTGAGGGGTCAAGGGCCGAGGTGGGGAAACCAGTAAAGAGGCCACTGCAACAGACCAGGTGAGAACAGGCGATGGCTTAGACCAGAGTGTTAACAAGGGAGGTGGTGAGACACGTTTGGATTGTTTGTATCTGAAGGTCGGTCCATGAGATTTGCTGATTGACAGACAGTATGTGGGTGAAAGAAGGGGAGGAAGTAAAGGACAACTCCACAAGCTTTTTGTCCTGGAAGGCTGGAACTACCATCAACTGGGTTTTGAGGTTGAAGGGGAGAAACTCCAAGTTTGGTTTGGGACAAGGTTTTAAAGTCTGTATGTCAGCTAGACTTCCAAGTAGAGAAGGGCCAGCCATTGGACATTTGAGTCTAGAGTTCCAGGTAGAGATCTCGACTGGAGATAAACACTTGGAAATATCATTATCTAAAGAGCCAATGAAGCCAAGAGACTGGGTGAAATTGCAAGGTGAATGATACAGAGAAGAGATGAGGTCATTCTACAGATGATGAAACTGAGGCAAAGAGGGTTAAAAACCTCACCTAGTGACAGGGCTGGAGGCAAAGCTAGCATTCAAACTCAGGCAAACCAACACCAGAGCCCCCACTCTTAACCACTGGTAGGGTTGTTAGGAAGTTTAAGAGTTGTCACACAAAAAAACACGTGGTAGCTGCCTGGCACATAGTAAGCCCTCAGGAAAGGGTACGTGTATCATAAGCCTTCACACCTCGTAAAAGCACATCCTCATCCCTGGAGTCCTCACCCATTTTCTCCCTCAATATTGTTCTTCATCTACCCTCCACTCAAATCAAAACTTAGAACTGATGGCAGGGACCTCCGCCCCTCCACACTGAGCTATAATAAACCTCTGCCTTAAAAAGTCTCATTAAATCCCAAGGCTGTCTTACAAGGGCATTTCTACATTTTATCACCTGCTGTCTCCTACCTTACGCACTTCCCTCATTAAAGAGCCTCCTACGAAACAAAATACACCCCCCCAACTCACCTACTGCCCTCCGCCTCACATCCTGTCATTAAAGCGCCTATCCGTGTTAAAGGGCAACCCCTCCCGATTCCCACACTGCCAGGTCAGCTGCCTGTCCAACTCACTCTCCCCTCAGAGCACCCCCTCCCCCCAGGATCGCCACCCCAGCCCGCGCATCGGCCGCTCTCGCCGCCTCTCACCTTCTCCACAGACACCCATCCTCGCGAGCGGCTCAACGGCCGAAGCTCCAGCCCCGCCCCAAGATCCGGCCCTCTCGCTTCTGATTGACCCTGGCTTACTAGCAGCTAAGTTCCCATTAGTTGAAACAGACACCCGTCACTCTGGCCCGCCTCGGAGAAGAACCCGCCTTCCGAAGCTTGCAATTGGCCAACTCCGTAGAGAGGTTCCGAAATGGGTCGTGTCGTCCGTCTCCTCTCCAATCACTACTGGCTGATAACTACTGCCAGTCATACAAAGAAGGTTGTTCCTCGGAGGGGAGGAAATCCCGGAAGTAACTCATTGACTCCGCCCACAACCCGTGCTTCAGAGTAGGCTGCGCCCACCCCGAGCGTCAGGCTAGAAAGGAAAGTTGGAGGCGCATGCACAGAGGACGTCTTGGACGCGGGTACTGAAGCTGTGGAAACGTTCTTAGCGTAAAGACTCGTTGATATGTCATCTGTCAGTGCGTTCCAAGCCTGCACTTAGAAGTTTGCAGGCCTTGGCTTATTTAAAGTTAACAATCCCGCGATGTAGAGGCTATTATGATCCCCATTTTGCCATTTAAGCAACAGGCTCAGAGAGGTACAACCACTGGCCTGGGATCACACAGCCTGAAAACCACCTCTATTTTGAGCTTATGAGTCGTCAATAGGGCGGATACTGCTTATGGAATTTGGTAGGGAAGTAGGCGAGGGGAGCATTCTCTTTCAGAAAAAGAATACAAAATCACACACAGAATTGGATATGAACATGAAAATGTTCTTAGAATACGAAATAATAACAAATTACATATTTTAAAGAGCTGACAAATACCACAAACATTGCAAAATCCCAAAAGATAACGTAATGTTATTATTAGTTTACTGCCAAGACACACCTCTGGGGTATGTTTCCTACTTTTTTGGCTGCATATACTTATTTCATAACATCCTTATCTACAGAGAGAAGGGGACAGTAAGTGATCTTCCCTCTAGCATACTTGATGGAACTTTTTTTTTTAACTTGATGGAACTTTTAAAAATCATCGTCATTTTAAAAAATTTCACCTTCACAAGGCAGCATTGCCAATGCCATCTAAGTTTTTTGGAAACTTATCAAAACTTTCATGAAGTTTAACTCGTGTTAGCTACACTTTTTGGAAAACGTTTGAAGGCTACCTTCTGGCTCAGTCCTTTAATTCTTGACTCACTTTCATTATGCGGGTGCTGCTGGAGGGGGCCACTAGAGGACCGTTCATACCACAACAGACTGGCCTTCCACCTAGTGAGTTAGCACCTTGAACAATAGGACTATTCTGGAAGCCGTTCCTACCAGGACAACTAGTTAGGTAATAATTTAAATATAGCTAAAAATATCTATGAACCACATCGAAATATTCCATGGAACCCAACCTAAATGTACCCTCAACTCACCTGCCTCTTCCCTAGATCCCATCAGTGCCTGAGGCCGCTCCAGCACCACCCATGGTAGAGAGAAATGCAACATGCGGAAATAGAACTGGGAAAAGCCAGTGGTCTAAACCAATTGCATTTTAAATATCTTCCTTTGGCAAATTTTACAAAGACATCAGATCTTAGGAACACCTTGATAGGACCATGGAAGGGCCTATGCAATTCAGGGGCCCTGAAGCTTCTGTGAGCTTTTCTATAAACCCACTCTGAATGCCGATCACGATGCATTTATTGAATGTCCATTTATTGAATGTGTGCCAGAGGCTAGCGCCAGAAATCCTGCCCTGGAATATAACAGCTAGTCCTGACACTGCCACCAACTGGTGGTGGGGCCTCCTTCCTTCTCTGTGTTTCAATTTTCCCACCTGGAGAATGAGTAATACTAAAAGACTAACATTTAGGGTTATTATGAGGCCCAGACATAAAGCTCACTGAACGGTCCAGTTAAGAACTTGAGGGCTTTGCAGTCAGAGAGACCTGGATGAGAATCCCAGGGGGGAAAAGAATCAAGGCTTCCTCTTACCAGCTTGGGACTACCCACAAGTCATGCCTCTTCTGTGAGCTTCCCTTTCTTCGTCTGTAAATGGAGTTTGATTCATTTGTTCATTCATTCATCCAGCATTTCCTGAGCACTTGCTGTGTTCCAGGCATTTTTCTGGGTCCCGGAACTTGGTACCTCAGTGAAGAGACAGAAAACGCCCATGCTCTAGTGAAAGGGAGACAGGCAATAAAATACAAATAAATAAATGGCAGGTGGTGATAAGTGGTATGGAAAAAATAAAGCAGAGGTAAAGGGGAAGGGGTGGTCAGAGATGGTGTCTCAGAGAAGCTGGCTTAGAGCAGAGACTTGAGGTCAGTGAAGGAGCCGGCCTTGTAGTCCAAGGGTAAAGCATTCCAGGAAAAGGAAACAGTGAGTGCAAAGGCACTGAGATAGGAGCATCCCTGATGCATTTAAAGAATAGTGAGGCGGTCAATATTGAGTGAGTAGAAGTGTGGTAGAAGATGTTTGGGAGAGAGCCAGAAGCCAAGTCATCTAGGGTCTTGTAAGCCATCTTGAGATCTTTGCATTTTGCTCTGAGTGAGAAGGGGCCCACTGAAAGTGGAGGGCAGCAGGGACATCATTTTACTCACATCATGAGTGATCATACTGTGTTAAGAAGAGGCTGGGTTAAAATAATTCGAATGAGATTAAATGGTACAACCTATGGAAAACATTTTGGTAGCTCCTCATAAGGTTCAACATAGAATTATAAAATGATTCAGCAATTCTGGTCCTAGGTATATACCCAAGAGAACTGAAAACTGATGTTCAAATAAATCCTTGTACATGAATCTTCATAGCAGTACCATTTATGATAACCAAAAGGTGGCAATGACCCAAATGTCTGTCAGTAGCTGAAAGGATAAACAAAATGTGATCTAGCCATAAAATGGAATATTATTCAGCAATAAAAAGGAATGGAGTATCGATTCATGCTATAACATGAATGAACCTCGAAAACATTGTGCAAAGTAAAGGAAGCCAGACAAAAAAGGTCACATAGTATATGATTCCATTCATATGAAATGTCTAAATTAGGCAAATCCAGAGAGATAGAAAGCACATTAGTGGTGGTGGGGGCTGGAATTGGGACACGGAGACTGGGAATGGGAAGTCACTGTTTAATAGGTGTGGGGTCTCCTTTGGGGAATGATGAAAATGTTTTGGAACTAAATAGAGATGATGCTTTCACAACACTGAATGTATGAAATGCCTCTGGTTTGTGTCATTGAACGTTATTTTTATGTTTATGGCTTTCACCTCAATTTAAAAATTTTTAAGGAAAAGATTTAAAAAATAATTCAAATGAGAGATGATGGTGGCTTTTCCGAGGGTGGTAGCCATGGAGGTGGGAAGACATGGTTAGAATCTGCATATTTTCTGAAGGTAGGGCTGACAATTTGCTGATGGATTGGGTGTTGGGAGGGGAAGAAAGAGAGGCATCAAAAATGATTGCAAGGTTTTTGATCTGAGAAGCTGCCAAGATGAAGTTTCCATTTATTGAGATTAGATGAATTGCAAGTGGGGGAGGCAGGGGGAGACTGGGGATTGGGAGTTTGGTTTTGGACATGTTGAGGTACCTAATAGACTTCCCAGAGGAAGTGTTGAGAACATAGCTGAATAGATGAGTCTGAATTCAAGGGTGAGGTCCAGCCTAGAGATATAGATATGAATTTGGGAGGCCACCCCCAGAGGAGTAAGTGGAGAGAGAAGAGGACCAAGGACTGAGCCCCAAGACCCTCCAATGTTTAAAGACTTCATAGATGAGGAAGAAACAACAGAGGAGTTTGGTGAGGAGCAGCCACTGAGATAGGAGGGAATTCATGAGTGTGGGGTGTCTTAGGAGTCAAGGGAAGCAAATAAAACTAGGAAGAGGTTGTGATTATCAGAGAGAAGTCTCAAGTAACATATGGGCAGGCCACTGGACTCTTGGATTGAGCCATAGGGAGGTTCCTGGTCACCTCAAGAATTGATTTGGCTAAGTGGTGGAGCCAAACCCCAAGTGGAGTGATTCAGGAAGGATTGGAGGAAAGGAATTGGAGACATTAGTACCGATAACTATTTTGGAGGGTTTTGTTTTCAAAGGCAGCAGACCATTAGGACTGTAGCTAGACAGGGTTAATAAAGCTTGTTTTTATTCGAGCATGTTTTTACACCAATGGGAATGATCTAGAAGAGAGGGGAGAACTGATAATGCAGGAGAGAAGGAGAGAATGGCTTGATTTACATCCCTGAGTAGGCAAGAGAGGATGGGATGTCGTGCACATTTGAAGTGGCCTTGGCTAGGTGTGTTTCCATCATCAGCAGGAAGGAAGGCAGAGAATAGGGTCTCTGGTGCAGGTAGCAAGGATAAATGTGTTAGGAACCAGAAGATCTCTTCTGATGGCTTCTCTTCTCTCCGAGAAATGGGAACAAGGTCAAGGGTGAGAGTGAGGCCAGGAAGGAGGTGGTAGAGGTTGAAGGAGGGAGAAGGTGTGACACAGGCTTCCAGAAGTGTGGAAGAGTGCAGGGGCGTGAGCAGAGCTTTCAGGCATGAAATGATGGTGAGCCCAGTCTCACTGCAGTGTGTTTTTGTCTAGCCACATTAAATGGGTGCAGGCAGGCAGGAGAGTTAGGTGAGAATTGCCAGCCGATCTCATTCACATAAAAGCTGGGAACAGGACCTGGCACCTGGTTAGAACTGGAAAGGAGGGCAACTGTGATAGTTATAAGTGCTTTGATTTGGGGAACAGAAGGACCGTGAAAAGAATAGGGACTAGGGTCTTGTCCCACCTTATCCTTTCACAGATAGGGGAACAGACGTCCAGTTGAGTCCTTTCCAGGTTTCACACACTCTAACGTGAGTTTTTAATGAGAGATGCTGTTATTACTATACTTGTAAAATGTCCCCAAAGCTAAATCCATCATGAAATTTACCAAGGCAATTAACAAATATGCGCCAAACCCCTCTGGATTGTCCTGTCTGATGATTACAGCTGTAATAATACAGAGCTTTCATTAAGCCCTAGGTGCTTTTTTTTTTTTAAGCCCTAAGTGCTTTTCCTGCATCATCTCATTCAGAGGCAGCGAGGTGGTGAATGAATGTGTCTGCCTGGGTTTAAATCCTAGCTCCCCTTCTTCTG